TGTGTGACCTTCTGTGGAAGAAGTTTAAGAGGCTGTTTGGTCACTGAACCCTGACAGTAGTGCAGGGCCTGATCGTCTTAAGGAGTTCTTTTTAAAAAAACAGTTCGGATTTCACTAAGGAGGACCTCACTAAGGCCGTTCAAGAGTTCTTTCTGGGCATCCCTATTCCTAAGGGCTTTAACAAGACCTCTATCATCCTCACCCCTAAGAGAGATAACCCATCCTCTGGCTCTAACTTAAAGACCTATTAGCTTATCTAACTTTGCTGCTAAAGTTATCTCTAATGATTTTGCTACCAGCCTAAGTAAAATCCTATTCAATCTAATCTCCCCAGAACAGGTGGGATTTGTCAACGGTAGGACTATACATGACCAGGTACTCATAACTCAGGAGATGTTCCATGGTATTACTAAAAAAAGTTGGGGTGGTAATTTAAATGTGAAATTAGACATGACCAAAGCTTTTGATAGAGTATCATGGAACTACCTTCTTGCTATTATTAAAGCTTTTGGTTTCTCTGACACGTGTATACAGGTGATCAAATATTGTACATACAGGGACAATATTAAGTATTAATTCAATGGAATTATGGTAAACCTAATAGGGTAGGAAACCTATGTACAATAGGTAACTACCATATATATGATAAATTTACTACCATATATAAGATAATATGAATTATATTTAAAACATACCATGGAAGTGACCTATGGCGTAGGATAGTTGCTTTAATGCCATCTCTTAGTTCCGCAACCAAGCAAACTATGTAAATCCTCTTGTCAGAATTAGGTGCGTATTGGGTACAGATATGGTCTTCAAATGCTTTGAAGATTTGAATTTTGCTTGTTGTGTCGTCCTAAAAGAGAATGTAGTATATTACTATAATATATTAAAAAGGCAAAGGAGAAATATTTATTCTACTACCTTCATTTTTTGTTGAAAAAATAAAAAATGAAAGAGCAAGTGTTCTAGTAATTGTAAGGAGTAAGTTGATACCTCAAAGATTTGATGTTCAAGGACATTTCTGAACCAGGTTATTATATCAAATGGTTTAAGGCCTATTTTCGCAGTACTATGATTTGGTTCTTCCTCACCAATACCAACAGGATCACCAGAGGAATTATCTTTTTCTTCCGCAGAACTATGATCTGGTTTTTCCGCACCAATATCAACAGGATCACCAGAGGAATTATCTTTTTCTTCCGCAGAACTATGATCTGGTTTTTCCGCACCAATATCAACAGGATCACCAGAGGAATTATCTTTTTCTTCCGCAGAACTATGATCTGGTTTTTCCTCACCAATATCAACAGGATCACCAGAGGAATTATCTTCTTTTTCTGCACCATTATCAACAGGATCACCAGAGGAATTATATTTTTTCACATTCTGACACATATGCAGCCATGCATTTTTGAAGGGTTCCAAACGCGTGGCATTTGTCTGCCAGTCGACCAACTCTCGGCTTATAGTTTCTTGACGGAAATGGTTTAGGAGCTGAGATCGTCCTATAATTTTGGCCCTATGCACAATTAAATATAACTTTTCCATAAGGTTCATACTTTCAATCGGCATGAAAAACACAGGGTCATCCAAAACCCACATCGCCTCTCTTTGAAAGATTTTCAATTCCCTGAAATAGAAAATTATATTGAACGTGTATTAATACCAAAAGATATGTTAAATATTGAATTAAAAAAAATCAAATACGGAGTACTTATTAAAGAAAAAGCCAAACAAAAGGGATACCTCCTTCCATAACAACTCAAGTTATATAACTTTTTTAAGAAAGACTTGAAGCCTTTACGCCTCAAGAAGGTAATTTCTGAACTTGCACAATGTAACTCATTAAAAACTTGATAGAGATTCTGGAGATCGTTCATCAATTCATGCTTTCCGAATCTTATTGAACTACCAGGACCAAGAATGATGAAATCATGGTTTAAGACTAGTATCTCAGAATTGAGATTTCCATGAACTTTACCAGCTCTATAAAGACATGACATATCCACACAAAGTTTCCTTCATAAATAAAAATGCAAGTTAGATTTTATACATTTAATTATTATTGTCATTTGAATAAAAATAAATAATATACATACAAATTACTATATTAAAAAATATTAACCTGCAAAAGTTTATAATCTCAATTTCAATTGTTTCTTGGTCTCCACCTTCTCTCATAAACTTAATTCTTTGTGCAAAGTAGTCTACAACCTGCAAAATTTGTGATGGAAATAAACTCCATCAGAAGATCTGAACCGAGAGGGAGGATCGAATTCGATTGTACATGAAAGATAATAAGAAAATACGGAGCTTGAGAATGTGTCAATGGCGCAAGAGTGTATTAGGTGTATTAAGCTTGAGTATTACAATTGCATCTTGTTCATATTTATAGGTCTAGCATACAAATAATACAGGGAAGTGTTAAGCATGGTAAGTTTCACTACGCCCTGGTCTTCCTCTGCCATCAACGCTCCGCCATTCCATCTCACTCAATCAGCAGTCGGACGCTGTCAATTGCGAGAAAGGAGGAAGGCTATTTCATTGGGCATAACCGAGATGGGCCAAAGACCCATCAACTGTTTCTTGCAGGCCAGGTCACTCGGATACACTGGGTCGTCCAAGCGATAGACTGCTCTGCCTATTAGAATTCCTATGGGCTTTTCTCTAGTGTTCGGCCGAACATATATCATGCGGGTCCATTAGCCCATCATAAACCCCCCACTCCTCTAGCCTTGAAGGGACGTTGAAGGGGTGAGAAGTAGTTGACTTGTGTTTTCTTATTACCTTTGATAAGAAAACACTATAAGAAAACACATAGCTTGACTCAAGTTCTATTGGAGATCCGGACACGTGTACGGCTCCTAGGCGAGTAAGCATGCAACGGTCATCTACCCAAGTCAACTACTTCTCACCCCTTCAACGTCCCTTCAAGGCTAGAGGAGTGGGGGGTTTATGATGGGCTAATGGACCCGCATGATATATGTTCGGCCGAACACTAGAGAAAAGCCCATAGGAATTCTAATAGGCAGAGCAGTCTATCGCTTGGACGACCCAGTGTATCCGAGTGACCTGGCCTGCAAGAAACAGTTGATGGGTCTTTGGCCCATCTCGGTTATGCCCAATGAAATAGCCTTCCTCCTTTCTCGCAATTGACAGCGTCCGACTGCTGATTGAGTGAGATGGAATGGCGGAGCGTTGATGGCAGAGGAAGACCAGGGCGTAGTGAAACTTACCATGCTTAACACTTCCCTGTATTATTTGTATGCTAGACCTATAAATATGAACAAGATGCAATTGTAATACTCAAGCTTAATACACCTAATACACTCTTGCGCCATTGACACATTCTCAAGCTCCGTATTTTCTTATTATCTTTCATGTACAATCGAATTCGATCCTCCCTCTCGGTTCAGATCTTCTGATGGAGTTTATTTCCATCACAAATTTTGCAGGTTGTAGACTACTTTGCACAAAGAATTAAGTTTATGAGAGAAGGTGGAGACCAAGAAACAATTGAAATTGAGATTATAAACTTTTGCAGGTTAATATTTTTTAATATAGTAATTTGTATGTATATTATTTATTTTTATTCAAATGACAATAATAATTAAATGTATAAAATCTAACTTGCATTTTTATTTATGAAGGAAACTTTGTGTGGATATGTCATGTCTTTATAGAGCTGGTAAAGTTCATGGAAATCTCAATTCTGAGATACTAGTCTTAAACCATGATTTCATCATTCTTGGTCCTGGTAGTTCAATAAGATTCGGAAAGCATGAATTGATGAACGATCTCCAGAATCTCTATCAAGTTTTTAATGAGTTACATTGTGCAAGTTCAGAAATTACCTTCTTGAGGCGTAAAGGCTTCAAGTCTTTCTTAAAAAAGTTATATAACTTGAGTTGTTATGGAAGGAGGTATCCCTTTTGTTTGGCTTTTTCTTTAATAAGTACTCCGTATTTGATTTTTTTTAATTCAATATTTAACATATCTTTTGGTATTAATACACGTTCAATATAATTTTCTATTTCAGGGAATTGAAAATCTTTCAAAGAGAGGCGATGTGGGTTTTGGATGACCCTGTGTTTTTCATGCCGATTGAAAGTATGAACCTTATGGAAAAGTTATATTTAATTGTGCATAGGGCCAAAATTATAGGACGATCTCAGCTCCTAAACCATTTCCGTCAAGAAACTATAAGCCGAGAGTTGGTCGACTGGCAGACAAATGCCACGCGTTTGGAACCCTTCAAAAATGCATGGCTGCATATGTGTCAGAATGTGAAAAAATATAATTCCTCTGGTGATCCTGTTGATAATGGTGCAGAAAAAGAAGATAATTCCTCTGGTGATCCTGTTGATATTGGTGAGGAAAAACCAGATCATAGTTCTGCGGAAGAAAAAGATAATTCCTCTGGTGATCCTGTTGATATTGGTGCGGAAAAACCAGATCATAGTTCTGCGGAAGAAAAAGATAATTCCTCTGGTGATCCTGTTGATATTGGTGCGGAAAAACCAGATCATAGTTCTGCGGAAGAAAAAGATAATTCCTCTGGTGATCCTGTTGGTATTGGTGAGGAAGAACCAAATCATAGTACTGCGAAAATAGGCCTTAAACCATTTGATATAATAACCTGGTTCAGAAATGTCCTTGAACATCAAATCTTTGAGGTATCAACTTACTCCTTACAATTACTAGAACACTTGCTCTTTCATTTTTTATTTTTTCAACAAAAAATGAAGGTAGTAGAATAAATATTTCTCCTTTGCCTTTTTAATATATTATAGTAATATACTACATTCTCTTTTAGGACGACACAACAAGCAAAATTCAAATCTTCAAAGCATTTGAAGACCATATCTGTACCCAATACGCACCTAATTCTGACAAGAGGATTTACATAGTTTGCTTGGTTGCGGAACTAAGAGATGGCATTAAAGCAACTATCCTACGCCATAGGTCACTTCCATGGTATGTTTTAAATATAATTCATATTATCTTATATATGGTAGTAAATTTATCATATATATGGTAGTTACCTATTGTACATAGGTTTCCTACCCTATTAGGTTTACCATAATTCCATTGAATTAATACTTAATATTGTCCCTGTATGTACAATATTTGATCACCTGTATACACGTGTCAGAGAAACCAAAAGCTTTAATAATAGCAAGAAGGTAGTTCCATGATACTCTATCAAAAGCTTTGGTCATGTCTAATTTCACATTTAAATTACCACCCCAACTTTTTTTAGTAATACCATGGAACATCTCCTGAGTTATGAGTACCTGGTCATGTATAGTCCTACCGTTGACAAATCCCACCTGTTCTGGGGAGATTAGATTGAATAGGATTTTACTTAGGCTGGTAGCAAAATCATTAGAGATAACTTTAGCAGCAAAGTTAGATAAGCTAATAGGTCTTTAAGTTAGAGCCAGAGGATGGGTTATCTCTCTTAGGGGTGAGGATGATAGAGGTCTTGTTAAAGCCCTTAGGAATAGGGATGCCCAGAAAGAACTCTTGAACGGCCTTAGTGAGGTCCTCCTTAGTGAAATCCGAACTGTTTTTTTAAAAAGAACTCCTTAAGACGATCAGGCCCTGCACTACTGTCAGGGTTCAGTGACCAAACAGCCTCTTAAACTTCTTCCACAGAAGGTCACACA